ACACTGCATTCTCTGCGCTAGCAATGGTAATAATAAAAGGTTGAAATGAAACAACACGCTACGGCAAGAGATAGCATTATTAAACCTGTTTCCTGAGAGTTTGCCCCAAACAGTTTTTTTCTTTTCATTTTGCGAGTTTGAAAATTGCGCACTGAGAAATTAAAATAGAATAAAATTTAAAAGAAGAGAGCAGGAATTAAGGCAAATAGCGAAGTGAGAGTTTGAATATTGTGTATAAAAAACAATTTCACTCATAACCTATGAAAGCAAGCACATGTACGATGTATGGCTGTATGATACGAAAATAGAGAGATTTATGAAAACAGTATGGTGGTGGTTGAGCTGTTGAGCTTATGTTTGCATGATTTAATAAGCAGTGTTATGTTGTATAGTGCTGCTGTTATTATGATTATGAGAAGCAATCATAAAAAATAAAGGGAAAAAGGAACCAAAGAACAATAATATAAACATGAATCTGTACATATGTGTGAGGAGATGAAATCGTGTAAAATGTGTTGGAATATGATGGAAGATATAATAATATTTTTTATTATACAAGCACATGCAGCCAGTCAAGTCAAGTCAACTCATAAGAGCAACACCAGAATTCATTTATTAAAGGAGTATGATGGTGGTGGTGAAGGTGGTGGTCGTATATGCTTATGATGATTATACAGTGCTATTATTGTTGTTTTTGCATTATGTTATGTATATTTGTGTTATGTGCTGGGTATGAAAAAAATAAAAATAGGAGGAGTATTATGATAACGTTATATTGTTGTTGTTTTTGTTACTCTTCGGTATGGTGGTTAAAGTCAAAAACTCAAAATGAGCGAATATGAGTGTATTTGGGTTTGCATTGCTACTATTGCTGTTATTATTATGTATTTGGTGCAGTCGGTCTGCCAGTGAATACATATAAACGTAGATATATCAACGTCTTCTTTTACAATTTATGAATTATGTAAAAGTATCTATATATATATATGAGAAAGCGTATGTGTGTGCGTATGCATGAATATATACGTACATATGAATCAAAGCATATTTCGCGTTTTCTTACTGGTGCGCATAAGGTGACTGGCTATTAGTTTCTCCTGTATTCTATGAATTTTCTTGTATACCTATAATACAATTTTCTACTTTCTTTCGTTGTTGTTGTTATTGTGGTTGGTGTTCTTTTTTATGATGGGTATAGTATTATGGTATAGTGCGGTGCAATGTGAACGCCTAAATTTTTGTTTTTGGTTTTCATACATTTTATGAAATTTTTCCTTCAAGTATAAACATATGTTTCCTTATGCTCGTGTAATTTTTGTTTTGTACATAATAGACGAAATGAGTATTAACTAAGATAAGGTCTAAGCAGGTAACAGAAAAAGTTCAGTAAACGTTGATGATTTTCTTCATCTAATTTAAAATAATTTATAAATTCTCTAATAACCATATCCTTGACGTGTTTATTTTGAATGATAATATAAGAAATTTTTCCCCTAATATTGGTTCGTTGATAAAGAAATATATTTATCTATGGGTCATTGCTGTAAGCATCGAAGTTTTCCTGCAGTAAGGGCTTTTTCTAAGTTTATCCAAGGACAACTATGCTTTCTTATGTTACGATCGTTTCCGATAGCATTTAGAAAGACGTTTCTAATGCAGCTTCATCCGCCGAAATTAATTATAAGAAGCCGAACAGACAAAAAATTCATAGATAATTCCGTTTATTATACCTCGATCATTAAATCGTTGCAGTTTTTACAATTTTTGTTAGAAACGAGTTTGGGAGTGGGAGATATTTTAATCATATCCCTGTTTTTTGCAGAGTTGTTGCATTAACTATTTTGAAAAATGTAGCCTTCTTCTAGCCTTCGTATACATTAGTAATTGAGGCTTACTAACGCTATCTTTCATTTCGATTGTATACTTTCCAGGAACCACAGCTAAAAGAAAATACTTAAATTATGTAACCATTAAAAAAAGTCCTTTTCGAAAAATGTTTTGAAAAAGAAAGAATTAAAGGGTAAGAGGAAAGACACATCGTACCTTTTTCACAACCTAAAGCAAAACAATACAATTTAAAATTACAAAGCATATAAATTGTCTATTAATTCGTCATTGAGACATTTCACTGCTTTTACAGCACTCGCATGCTTATGTGTGTTGGTTTATTGCCTATCAGCATCTCTTCGCCTTTCTCGATAATTATAAAAGAATATGTTTAGTCAAATTGTCGAAATATATAAAGTAAAATTTATTGAAATTCGAACTTAAGCATAATGGTAAAGAAAGTGGGAGTTACCTTAAGCTTATAGTAACAAACTTCATAAACGTACTGAGACACACAGCGAATAGCAACACATGAATATCCTATAAAAAAATTTGCAACAATAACGAACAACATGAACGCAGTTCATAATCAATAGCATAGAACAACAAAAACTATTAACAACAGCATTATGCTTAATATTTTGGATGTTTGTGAGAGTGAAGTGCAGATGCCTACATATAAAATACAAATCAAGAACATGTTTATTGAGGCGAAAATGTAAGTAAGTTAAGAAAAAAAAAAAGAAAAAAATAGTGTAAAATACAAGAATCGAAATGAAAATAAAAATTATGAAAACCCCCCCTTCCAAAATAAAAAGAGTTATCTATAGCTTACATTCCTAAGAGAGGAAAAGAGATAAACAGAACGGAACCAGTTGCTCAAACCAGCCACGGCATTATATGAATGAATTATGATCAATTATTAATCGCAGATGTAGAAAAAAATCATAAAAAATTTCAATGAGGAAATATGAGAAAGACAGAGAAAGCTTAAGACATATAAGTGCAACGTGAAAAGGGATACGAAGGAGAGAAAAAGAGAGAATACACTTAAGCTTATGGCGGCGTGTATATGTTTATAAGTAAAACGAGAGAGTTTGTTTACGTACGTATAGATAATAATTATAAAAAAATATGATGATTTTCTTCTTATATATAGTTAAGCTAAAAAGCAGTTAACAAAAAAGAAAAAAAATGAAGTGAGTAATAAATTGTTGTCATTTCCTATGTATAGCAAAATATGAGAGCAAACCATATGTTTAACTATTGCAACGTAGCGAGAGTAAATAACTTTAAAATAGAGAAAGAGAGAAAAATTATGAAAAACAGGTAACATTAACAAAACAAAACACACATAAATAGATACATGCACCTCTCTCTCTGGCGTTGTGCTTATAACTCTTTAGAGTTTGTTTGTTTGTTGAACTATTCGAAAAAAAAGGGTGTGAGTATGTTTCGCTATATGATAGGCGAGAAAAAGATAGCTTTCATAACTGTTGAGATGGCGCATTAGAGGAGCAACAAAGATGGCAGCAGTTATTAATAAAATTATGATGTTTTGAGATGATGCCTGTGTTTTCCTGCTGTAATGTAGCGAGCACTCGTATGCACACGCTGGCAAAACTCATGGCGAGATAGAGAGTGAGAGAGAGAAAGAGAAAGAGAGAGAGAGAGCGAGAGAGAGAGAGACCATGTAAAGGAAATAAGAAACAAAGAGAAAAAAATTATCATATTATTGTTGATATATGAAGGCTATAGGAAAAAGAAATGATAGCATCGTTGTGTTGTGTGCGTACGTGGAATAACAAAAACAACATATAAGAAAAAATGTACGCATAACACACAACTCAGAACGGTAACAGCATACAGTCTACAGTACGCAAACTGGTTGGTTGTGGTGGTGATTATAAGGCTTGTGCCTTGTAGTGAGAGTTTCGGTAGTGGCTGGCGGTATTAGCAGTAGTTGTTGTAGTGTTAGTGCCTAGAGTAGCAATAAAATACGTTGTGTGTACGTTTCATATATGAATAAGCACTCGGCCATACAGTAAAAAAGACAAAAAAATATATTTTTGTTTGAGTGACTTTTCGGTTCGGCGTTAAGTCTCAGTGCAAATTTGACGCGCGTGCTGAACGTATCATATGAGTAATAATGTTTAGCACAAGAATATACGTAAATTTATAATTCGAAAAAAGCGGCACTTTTGAGAAATACGAAAAGTATGTAACATTTCGTTAACTTGCAAAGATTTATGTATTATTTTAATTAAGAAGACAGCAACAAAGAGAAAAGCAAAAGAACAAATAAATAAATAACTTGTACTTAATGTAAGAAAGACGAAAAGTGTTTTGATTTAAGAATTTTAGACAAATGAAAATAAAAAAGCCGTCGGTTTTCAAAAGTAAACGTTAAAAAGTATTGATAAACATCAATCATAATTTAAATGAAAGGCATGATAAAATTATCGTCTGGGAGATTTACTGTGAGTGTAAAAAAGTGCGTTATTATTGTTGTAAGTAAGAGCAACAGCAACAGCAACAGCAAAAGCAGCAGCAGCAACAACGGCAGCAGGAACAACAACAGCGTCTACTAAAGCAGCAGCAGCAGCAATAATAGGTGCTAAATCAGTAGCAATAACAACAACTAAATGAAAAAAACTTTTCTCTGCTTTTACATGCATGTACATGTATTGAAATACAATTATGCACATATAAACACGCACATGTACATATATATATAATAACATCGGCCGTTGTATATGGATTATGATGAAGCAACACCGTATCGGTAACTGTAGCTGCGTATATGCGAATACGAATGCACAATATAAATGCAAACAAGCAAACGCACATCATCGTCGTCATCATGATATATCAATAATTGCCAAAGAGGCCTATAAATGTGAGATCGAGCACTCTGGCACTGTTGTTTGTGTACATATGTAAAGACCAATGCCGTCGCCGGTGTTGCAAAAAACAAAACAAAAAATGACAGTTGTAAATGAAGCCCTAAACAGATCAGAACAGCAATTTAATAATAATTCATTATTAATAATAAGTAATAATTTTACATAGTAACAATAATAATATAAACAAATAAAAGAAATTCAAAAACAATTTCATGTAAATTAATTAACAGAAAAAAAAAAAAAAGAAAAAGCAAAAATGTTATAATGAAAAATTTTGAGAAGAAAACGAAGAAAAGTTTCACCAAAAATTTATTCAAAATAAAAAAATAATTCCGTCTAAAATCAGAAACAATTATCTGTTTTTCGTTACGATTTGCTTTTAACATGTAAAAAATTTGCAATGAATTTATCATCGCTGTCATCCATTGTGTAGCGATAATTTTAATAAAAAAAAAAAAAAGATTTTTACCAACATTTTTTCTTAAGCAATTGTTTTCATTTTTTTTTATTTTTTTTCGGTAAAATTCATTACAATAAAACAACCAAAAATTTGGCTTTGTTTTCGGCAGTGAGTGTGTTTTGCGAAATTTTTGGACACAATTTTTTTTGTTTCTTTTTTCTTATAAATTTGATAAAAATATATATATAATTATTTTTGGTTTACCAAAAAAAAAAATAAAGAAAAAAAGGAAAAAATTTAAGAAGCATCTGTTTATTGAAAGCGCTGCTGCTTGTTGCTCACTTTTCTTTAGATGAAAAATATTTTGTCAACTGTTTTGTGTGAAATGAGAAGTGATTTTAAAGATAGTCATCAAGAAACCATCAATAAAATGATACAATTTGGTACCGTCAAGTATGGTATTGTTAAGCAATTAAAAGATCGGGCTAAAAGTACAGATAAAGGTGAGTAATTACGTAAAGCTTCTTATTATGGCCATATTTTAAGGAAAATGTCATTGTTTGCAATTGTTTTGCTCTCATGTTAAGCCAATGAGAAATTTTACCTTATTTGCACGTGTCATTACTTACTTTCTCCGTTTTGGTGGCTAGGAGACTTTCGCATATAATTTAAGAAACGGAAATTCACTTTTTTCCCACCGAATACTTAGACAGAAGACCGATTGACTTAGCAGAAATGATAGCGTGGTAGCAGTTATTAGAATGGTTTTAGTTATGTAGTAAAAATCGTTTTTTTTTTTTTTTTTTAAGGTTTTTCAAGGAAGCTCTATTAACCCACTGGCACTCAACTGGCCAACTGGACTTAAATTGTAATATGCATTTAATTTTTATTTTGCTTAATTTTAGAAAATTGAAATGTAGTTTCCTTTGATTTTGGAAATTTTTCGAAAAATTTTAAAATTAAAATGACTGTCGAGCAATTAGAGTGAAATTTTAAAGATTAGATGAAACCCAAATTGGGAAGATACTTACGATAGATAGACAAGGGCGACGGTGGAGAGGCGAAGAAGAAGTCAGATTAATAACGTATCAAAATTTTGAATGCTTTTCGATAACATTTCATAGAGTAAGCTCATGATTTCGATGGATACCTGTAAGGCTGGCGTTCTACACATGGTAAACAAGTAGAACTCTTCAATTACAAGCCAAAGATATTCTTTTCAATTTTTAAACAAATATGGGTCACGTCACTTTGGACCATTTTTTGGATCCATTTTTAATTCTCGATGAAAATCAAAAGTCTTAGTAGTTGTATTTTTTTTTTTTTTTTTTTTTTTTTTTTTTGGAAATGGATTGGGCCAGTTAAGTTAAAATTAAATCCATAATCCAGTAACGTAGTTCAAAACTGTATTTATCAGCAAGAAAATGCGCAAAAATTCCAAATCTGCATATTCTTGATAAGCGTGTTATTGTTGGTTTAAGGTAAGCGTTTGTTGTTTGTAAGGTAAACCACCGAAAGAGATTTTATAATGTGATGGAAATTACGATAGAGTTTTGTGTTTCTCTTTAAGATTTAAAAAGTTCATATCTTTCAAATTTGCTTTCCTTCTTTAGATTTTCAGACTCGTTATAAGACTTGCCTAAAAGATGCCTTGCCTCATTAATCATCGCTAATAGTTCCGTTTGAATAAAACTTTAACGCATTTTGTGTATTACTTACACTATTTGAGAGGTGTGCGTGCATGAGTGTTTTCGCTTTCAATGCGATCACAATTGCAATACATGCCATTGTCGTTCATTTGATTTCATAAAAATTTTTACGTTCATAATTTTAAAATACTATTTATTGTTATTCTCTTATATCACTTAACTTATGAAGAAAGTGAATTTTTTCGATATTATGAATCCTATTCTTCTACTTGATGAATGAAAATCATAATGAGTATAATAAAAGAAAAATGGTTTCCGTAAGCGTTTACTTAACCGTCTTATGTTTTTCTATAACGAATCGTACCAGGATGAGACGCTCAGCAACACGGTGTTGTGTGTGTTTATAGTTCTAGTTCATTCATCTGGTTTGTTTCCTTCATATTAACACAAAATATTATATATAGGTCATAGGTCATTTTGGAGAAATGCAAATATTGAAGAAATTTACCTTCAAAGTTCAACAATGACCCAAAACCACCACGAGGTTAAAATCAGCATTTTATAACGTTTTTTTAAAAATTGCAAAAATGAGCTTCACAACAGTCTTTGAGTTCAATCTTTTAAGTTGAAAATAGTTTGAATTAATTCGAAGGCAAAGACAATCAATTTATTATTCTTAAAAGCGTCTCCTTGTTACTTGTACGAAGGATAAGGATTATTGAATTTGTTTTTAAAGTAGTAACAAAAAATGCCCAACAAGTTGAAGATCGAGGTTTCTTTTTTGTTTTTTTTAATTAAAATGAAGTGCGCAGAACGATACTCAATACTCAAATCAATAAGAAAAAACTGAATTCTCTACTTAAGTTGCAGTAAGAAATATTGATGGGGTTATAATTAACCGCAAATGTCAATGTTCGTTACCCAATTGGATAAATTTGAAGATCGAGAAGGATTGTAGAACACGTGCTCTTATAACGAATCTTACCACGAGGAGCTTGACAATCTCTTATGAGAGCAATTGGTATAATTAGCTGTCTATCACACGATTTTCTTATAATCGGGAGAGCGAATTTATTTATAATATACAAATTTTTTTCGACATAGAACTACAGGAGAGTTCTGTCCCGGACATAAACTGGCTGCTACAGCCTTTGGATATTTCCAAGTATCTAATATCAAGAATTTCAACGACCACCATTGCACTGTATATTTTCTATTTTTGGCTGAAGGTCGCCCCGCCCGGTGTGTCCATGGAGTGTAAATGCTTCTTATAAGCAATTTGACCAGAGTGCAAGTTCACTTTTTTAGCTAATACTGCTACTGCATAGCGCAAAGTAATTTAAACTTTGGCTTTATTGTCAATCAGTAGTGACTTGTTTCGGCATCGATCTTAACAGATGTTAAGAGATATTAGTGGTACGCTTTCATGCTATACTTATAAAGCTTTATATTTATGTGGCAAGGGAGGACTTTTTTCTTCTTTATCTTTTCTTGTTTTTCCTTTCATTTATTCATTTACCTTTAATTAAACATTTTGTTTTTGCTTTTCTAATTTTAGTTAAAGTATTTATAGTACAAGATATAAATTTTAAATCGTAGACTAATTTGGATTCGGTTGATGGAAATTATAGTAGAGTCCTTTGAAATAAATACAACTGACTGACAACTTGAAGAAATGACAAAAGTATTTTCTAAAACACATTACTACGGCGAATACGCTTCCATAACGATAAAATTGTATGAAGATATCCAACAAGGACAGATGGACGGATCATGACGTAGATCTCTGCCGCCTACAGCTAACTGGGTAAGCGAGAGATAATTCAAGAGAGACTAGCAAAAGTATTTAAAAGAGCGATGAATTATAAAATAACGAATTTCGAAAAGCAATTAGCTATAGCTAAAGCTATGTAGAGGTTTGAAATTATTTTAATATAGTTTTTATTAGCAAAAATTACATCTAAATAATTTTCAAATTAACTGAAAAAACGCGGCCAGTTTCTCTTTGTCGAAGATCTTAATACATTCGAGATCAACGATAACAGTACAAACAAAAACACATTCTTTTAGTCACGCCCTTTTCTTTTATTTGAAATCTCTCTTTTGCTTACATACTTTACTGCTTCTATTTCTTTTACTTTATTCGTCCATTTCATAGAAGGAGGGGAATACAGCTAAACATAGCAATAAGGTTAACAAAAAAAGTAGCCTGTATACTCGACAGAGATAGGTTTGCCGTACACAAGGGTAGCAACACTTCTAAGATGCCTTTTAAACATATAAGAATCTCAACTCCTTTTTATGAAATAATTTAAGAGTTTTATTGACGGCAGGTACAATATGCACAAAAAAAAAAGAAAACAACGTCACTGTCCAAAATTTGAGCCTCCAAATCGAGATCCCTTAAGAGGTTTTCTAGCAGCTGATTTTTAAACCCAAAGACAATGTTCTTCTAAAAAGTATGGTTTTACAGCAATTACCTGCAATTAGAAATGGATTGAAATAAAATCTGATCTTTAAACGAAGCTATGTATTGCGAATAGATGAAAAACGGTGGTATTTTGCTTTTATAAATGCGTTTATATATAAAATAACTATATCCCTGTAGATAGTATGAAAATGTGGAGCAATATGTTTATGGCATTTGTATATATATATATATATATATATATATATATATATGTGTGTGTGTATGTATCGTAACATTTAGGTTATAAAATATATATCTATGTATTCATATGTATATTTATTTATATATATATTCATATTATGTATGTATATTTATGTATGTATGATTGAAAGAAACAGATGGGAAATTATTTATGTACAGATACAATGACTAAAAGCTCATCTTTTTCTGCGTGCTTCTGCTGCTGGTTTAAAATTTATTTTTATATTCCTTCGTAATTTCTTTTTCTTACGATACCAACAACTCAAAAAAAAAAAACAAAAGGTAAAGGGAAAATTTAACTAATAATGGAAGAAGTCAAATGCAGGAAAAAAATAATTAAGCTCCCAACACTAATTTCTTAGTAAGTTTCTCGAAAAGAGAAAGTTGTGCGTACAATGTTTTACCCAAAAATTCCTAGCGATCTTATTACAAAGCATATGAGAAACAACAGAGCAATGCTATCAACATGGCCATCTTTAGCAATACTATTGATTACGTATAGATTATTTTTAGAAAAAAGAAGTGGAAAAGTTTTGTTCTCACTTTAAAAATAGGATAACATCCAATTGTGAAAAATTATTTTGTTAAGCTTTCCATTGTTTTTTATCAGTAACACCGACATAAACACTTGCACCTTTATGCCAATCAAGAATGGAACTGATGTGAATTGCAAATGCAATAAAAGAATTTTTATGCAAAATTTTACATAAATTAATCGATTTTCGTTTTCATAAGTTAATGCTCATATATATAAAATAAAAAAGAATTTAATGGGTTTTTGTATGACTTGCTAAATTAATTTTTCATTGCATTTTACTTTCTAGTCTTGTAGTCAGATTTTTATTTAAAACTTTGAAGGTTCCTTTGGTGTTTTTTTTTTTACTTAAGAAACTACCGGTAAATTTATTTTATATTGTATTACCTTTTAAGATTAATATGCTACTTACTCACAATAGAAACGCACCATGTATTTGAAAAATATTTATTTCATAATAAACATTCGGTAAATGAATTTCTGATTTTATCAATTGACTTAATTGATTTTAAGTATCTTTTTTTTTTTTTTTAATATTAATTTAGAAATTATGCAAGATTTACAAAACAAAAAAAAAAAAACAAAGAAAACCAAAAAAACAGAAACCCGAAAGCAAACTAAAAGCCTATAAATGTTATATTTATTAAG